CAAACAATAAATGCTGGAGAGGATATGGAGAAAAGGGAACCCTCCTACACTGTTGGTGGAAATGTAATTTGGTGCAGCCACTATGGAAAAACAGTATGGAGAGTCCTTGAAAAAATAAAAATAGAGTTATCATATGATCCAGCAATCCCACTCCTGGGCATATATCCAAAGAAAACTCAAATTAGAAAAGATACATGCACCCCAATGTTCACAGCAGCACTATTTACAATAGCCAAGACATGGAAGCAACTTAAATGTGCATCCATAGATGACTGGATAAAAAAGATGTGGTAATATATACAATGGAATACTACCTAGCCATAAAAAAGAATGAAATAATGCCATTTGCAACAAATTGAAAATATTATACTATGGGAAGTAAGCCAAAAGAGAAAGACAAATATCATATGATATCACTTACATGTGGGATCTGAAAAAAAATACAAATGAACTTATTTACAAAACAGAAACAGACTCACAGACACAGAAAACAAGTTTATGGTTACCAAAGGAAAAAGGGAAGAGTAAGGGATGAATTAGGAGTTTGGGATTAGCAGATACGAACTATTATATATAAAATAGATAAACAACAAGGTCTCATTATATACACAGGGAACTATATTCAATATCTTGTAATAGCCTAAAATGAAAAAGAATATACATATATGTATAATTAAATCACTATGCTATACACCAGAAACTAACACAACATTGTAAATTAACTATGCTTCAACTTAAAAAATTTTTAATAAAAAATACACTTTCTGCTCCATAGTACACATATATTTGGTGCAATACAAAATTATCTCCTCTGAGTAAAATTGTCCCTTTCTTAGAAGACATTTAATTAGGGGCTTTACATATCCCATGGCACAAAAATCACATACCCTGTTTGAGAAACAAGCTTAAGGAGACTATAGGTTCCCTCCAGAGTCAATGTAACACATTATTTCTAATAATCCCTATGCACCAGCCTATCAGAAATCTTAATGAAACAACCAGGCAAGAAACAGGAAGGTCCCTAGGGAAAGCATGGAAAGTTACAGGATCACATGTAAGAAAGAGATACCTGAGAATTCTCAACAGTGGCTAAAATGATGCATAAATTAAGACCAGCACAGTTACAACACACTCTGTAGGAAACAGACCAATAGAATCTAATGGCACAAGGGAAGTGAAATAAGCTATGCATGAAGCTCTCACACAGGGCTTCCACATCAAACCCAGTGGAGATTTATGGACTCTCCCCAGGATGATCTAGGAAAGCTTCATGCTATGTAGGAGACGTCTTCTCTGCTGGGCACTGCTGCTATTACACACCACAGGTGAGCCCATTCACCTATACACTTGTACATTCAGTGTGCTCAAGAGATTATCAATGAATATTGGTTTCTCTTACAATTCAAGAACCACCCCCTTAAAAAAATTTCTCAGAGAATTTAGATCACCATGGAACTGACACTCTCCAAAATAAGTGCACAAATGGTGCCAAAGTCATCCACAGGTCTTCCCCTTCAAAGGAAGTAGCTGGGCCACCAGGAATGGTATGACTTTTATAGATATTTTGAACAAAACAGTATGAAACTAGTTCCATCCACCGGGGCTAAAAGCAAGAGAAAATAGAGGCGTTTTTGGTTTTGGGAGGTTTTTTGGTATCCTGTTTCAACTCCTCCTCTTTGTCCATCCTATTACTCATCTGCAACCTCAGGAAAAGAGGCATTAAACATTTTGTAATAGTAAAATCAAATGTATATGAGGACTAAGATTCACATAGCATTTAATGATGAATATATTAAGAACTGCTTCTTACAATTATGTTGGGAATTATCTGTGAAGTTCATTTACAATGGTTTCACTACAGTTGACTCACGTTTTTTTTTGTGAGTTTTCTTAAATTTTATTTCAATGTCAAAAAGAGTGCTTGGAGCCAAGTCTTGTGCATTTTGATTTTAGGTCAAAGTCTGTGACTCTGAGACTGTGAATTCAAGTCACTGTTGCTGCTATTCCAGTAGTAAGTGGCTACTCTGCATCACTGCTCTCTTGTCTTGTTGAGAAGAGAGGGCTCTTGCTTGGAAAGTGCTGACTTCTCATAGAAGGGAATCATTTTCTCAGATGCCTCACCAAAATGACCATCAAAGCAAGTTAGTTTAGCTCTTCATAATCAACCCAATTTAAAAAATTAAAAAGAATTTGTCTTCATCTTTCAGTTTCCTTCTCTTCTTGGTTTCTTGTCCACAAGACTACAACCTGCTTTGACATAACCAGCTCAATAGGAAGGTTATGTTTGCTTCTAAATGAGTAGGTTCATAGTTCATTTTATACATTACTAATTTAGTGAGCTTGTAATATCTGTATCACCATAAACATATTTATCTTATTTAATATAACCTCGCTGAACAGAATGAATTTTTTTCTATTTGATTATATTCAGTGAGTACTATAAATATTCTATAGACTCCACTTTAGCAAAATTCTTTTTTAACTAAAATTTTCTGTTATCAGTCAAAAAAAGTTAAAAGTATCTTGTTTAAAAATGACTAGAGATTCCATTATATTAAAGCTATCACTGTGTTCTTTTCTCTGAATTGTATTTGATTCTTAAAAAGACATCTTTGGTGATGGTGTTCTAGAGGGAATAAGGACAAATTTTGCAATATGGGGAAATAATTTTTTGAAATGTCTTTGATTCCCTTGTTTTCAGTTGTTTTGAAAATTGGGGGCTATTGTTTAAATAAACTAAAGTAAAATCTTCAAATAGTGAATTTTAAGGGAAACTTGTGGCAGCAGTAAGGAAAACTTCAGAAGAAAATCTCTTGGTTACTTTACTTGTTTTCTCCAATACATCTCGTATGTTATATTCATCTTTAATGACAGATACTTTAAATGTATAAGAAGCATGATAAACTACCATGTGAAATTAATCATTATGGGTTGAATAATAGTAATTTTCATTACTAAAAACAAAGGATTAGAGGGGAGGGTATAGCTCAATGGTAGAGTACATGCTTAGCATACATGAGGTTGTAGGTTCAATCGCCAGTACCTCTAATTAAATAAACAAACAAACAAAATTACCTCCCCCGCAAAAAGAATAAAAATTTTAAAAAAGGATTAAATACCAAATTGTAAATGAGATGTGGTGCAAAATCAACGTCTTGAAATAGGAAATAGCAAGATATATAAATAATTTATTATCTGAATATCCTTTTTTGTCTGGTATCATGGGGGAAAAAATGATAGAAATCTAATGAAAATAGCTCAAGAAAAAGAGAGGTAGAGAATGAATCTGAAATAATGTCAAAGCTCAAATCACTTGAATCTGTAGAAAGTGTCAGATTTAAACCTGTTTTTTTCAAGTCCCCAGTAATGTTCTCCTTGCACAAAGCCATTGCTTCTCTTGACTCTTTGTCCTTTTGGGCATCATAACATGTTTCTTTTGTGGGGGTGGTATTTGGTTTATTTACTTACTTATTTTTAGAGGAGGTACTGGGGATTGAACCCAGGAACTTATGCATCCTAAGCATACACTCTACCACTTAAGCTATACCCTCCTGCCCCCAAATCTAAATTTATTTTAAAATGGTAGCATATGTGTTCTCCCATTTTGAAGTGAATAGCATGAATTACCACATATGCTTTTACTGGAAAAAAAATTAGACATAAGACAAGCCATTTTTGCCTCTATTTCAAGATTTCTTTATACCAAAAGAAGATGAAGTTTAACTGATTTTGTCCACTGGCAAAGACAGTTCAAGCAGCCTAGAATCCTACATTTACAAAGAAATCAGGGCCAAATGGCTCATTCAGAAAAGCCAGGATTTATTCAAGACTTGTTTTAGAATATTCAATATATTTGCCTGCATCAAATTCCCTGTCCTAAGAAAAGTTCAAAATGCCGCAGCAGCAAAGTGACTTGTCATTATCTATCTGTCTTCTCTCCACAGTCTGGGGACCATGAATAACTCAGGGATATCTACTGTAACAGAGTTTGTCTTGTTGGGCTTTCCTGGTCCCTGGAAAATGCAGATCATCTTTTTCTCAGTGATTCTGTTGGTCTACATCTTGACTCTGACTGGGAATATGGCCATCATTTGTGCTGTGAGGTGGGACCACCGACTCCATACTCCTATGTACATGTTCCTAGCCAGCTTCTCTTTTCTAGAGATCTGGTATGTGACCTGCACAGTCCCCAATATGCTGGTCAATTTTCTTTCCAAAACCAAGACCATATCCTTCTCTGGTTGCTTCATTCAATTCTACTTCTTCTTTTCCCTGGGCACAACTGAATGCTTCTTCCTCTGTGTCATGGCTTACGATCGCTACCTGGCCATCTGTCATCCACTGCACTATCCCTCCATCATGACTGGGCAGTTCTGCGCCATTCTAGTGTCTCTTTGTTGGCTCACTGGTTTCCTTGGGCATTCAATTCCTATTTTCTTCATTTCTCAACTACCCTTTTGTGGTTCCAACATCATTGATCACTTCCTGTGTGATGTGGACCCTTTGATGGCATTGTCCTGTGCCTCCTCACCCATCATAGAGCATGTATTCCATTCTGTGAGCTCTCTTATCATCATTCTCACCGTTTTGTACATCCTTGGATCCTATACCCTGGTGCTCAGAGCTGTGCTTAAGGTTCCTTCTTCAGCTGGGAGGCAGAAGGCTTTCTCTACCTGCGGATCGCACTTAGTTGTGGTGTCTCTGTTCTATGGAACCATTATGGTGATGTATGTGAGCCCCACATCTGGCAACTCAGTTGCTATGCATAAGATCATCACACTGACATACTCGGTAGTGACACCAGTATTAAACCCCCTCATCTACAGCCTACGCAACAGGGACATGAAAATTGCCCTCCATCAGATTCTTTGTGGAATGAGAATTATTCAAACCTCATGAAAAGGTTTTGTGAAACCTGATGACTCTCTTTCTGCAAGTGGAAGAATAATCCTCTTCTTTCAATCCAAATTGATTTAGCTTTATTCATAACCATCATAGTCCTTTTGTGCAAAGCAGAATTCATCATGTATTTGATTATATTTTTATGTGTTTTCAGTTTCATAAATGTATTTCCATAGGAAGAGACCTCTACCTGACACATGGTAAAAACAACTCTTAAAAAATCTTAAAATTTGCTTCCAGAAAGATTTTGACTTTTTCAATGTACAATCTCTGTCTACACAACTTTAAGAGATATGAATCAAATTGTTATTTGCCTACCTGGCTGCCTAACACTTTGCTTAAAAGCCACATAACCCATAAAATGCCTTGTCTTGAATTTTTGGCAGAAACCCCACACATCAATGATGGATACACTAAGAGATTATTAAGCCAGTGTCACAATTCTTAGTTCAACATCCCTATCAACAGTATACAAAAGGGAGGCTAAAACTTTGTTTGAAAACATTAGTAAGAATATCTTTGGTAAGTTGTCAGCATGCAACCTTCATTAGGAAAATGAAGATTACATCAAGAGAACCACTCAAAGGACTTGCCCTTGTTCTCTGGAGTTTAAGAGACACCTGGACTGTCCCTGGTTCATACCTGGAAAAAATATATAAATATTGTAGAACTTGGCTCTGAGAGAAAAGGAGAACGAAATGGGCTATAATAGGAGCATAATAAAACAAATACAAAATACCACACTTGCCCTAGTTAGAGCTCATAGAAGATAACAAATCTGGGCCATCTTGAAGGAGAGTCCACCCAAAAGTACAACTTCGAAAAGTAAAGCAGCCCTAAAAGTTAGTCTACATGAGGTGGGTCACCAGAATCCAGAGATGAAAGAAGTTATAAGCAGCCAGCCAGTGAAGCATTGCCCACATCAGAGAACTGCATTTTAGGGTGCTCCCCTCCCCACAAAAAAGAAAAAAAACTCCATGAGAGGAAAATCAGCATACAAACTTTTGTCAAGTCTGTACAGCAACACCACCAGTCAAGGAAAAGGCTGTCCTCTTCAAACCTAAAGTAACCACGAGCAGTATAGAAATGTGGAAGAGGAGGACTGAAAGGGCAGGGGAAAAGATGTAGATCAAGCCTGAGTCAGAACATCTTGAGGGATGTTTTAATTTGGATAAAAAATTAAAATTTAAGTTTTAGATTATATTAGAATTTCCAATACCTGGATAAGGAAACCATGTATTAATACTGAAAGCAATCAGAAAAGCTATCACATTGGCCCAAGATACTATCCACAGGTGGAGACAAATAGAACATCAGAAATGTTTGAAATAGGCATGGTGAGAAAAAATAAAGTTCCTTTGTGCTTATACCCTACCAAGTCCAAATCATCCCGTTAAATAGTTACAAGTATGTGTATTTAAACGTTGTGGTAGCCTAAGAAAGAAAGAAAACCCTCACCTGAAGACCAGAAGTTATCTCTTTAAAAGTCCCCTTGAACAACTGGAGAGCACCATGCTTCAGGGTGGATAGAAGGACCTAAAAAAAAGGTGGGAAAAGGAATCAGAAAATATGCTTCGAAAGCTACTAAAGACAAGCTTGATATATTCATCAAAGTTGCACCTTAATTGAGCACTAATATTTTAATAATTCAGCTGAATTCATTAGCTGAAAGAGGAACAGAAAATATTTTGGACAAAACTCAATAGCACATCTGTCATCACTTCACTAAGAACACCTATTCTTTGGTTAAGATTTAACTCACATATCACTCCCACCAGAAAAATCCTTCTAATATCCCCAGACTGGACTATGATTCCCTCCATAATGCACCTAGAACACACCAGGTCATATTCCATCATTGTACTTATTGACTCTTTGAGGTGAGTCTACTATGTGTCTGTGTCTCTTAAGCTAGACTATAAGCCCTTTGAGGACAGGGACAGTATCTTGTATCTTATTTTTTCATCCCTGACATCAGCATGTTAACTGACTAACTCACAGTAAGCAGGTCATGAAAGGAATTTTTTTTAGAACTGGGAGTGAGCTAGTTCTTTAATCAGTCTTCACTAAAATTGAATATATTTTAGTCACAAAACCATGGATTATTTACACTTTTAGTATTTAAAAACTTATATGGTTTAAAAACTATGTTTTGATATGTGTTTTATTACAAAATAACATATGCTTGTCATAAATTTTTCAAACAATACATTAAAGTGTAAAGTTAAGGATAAAGGTTTCCACCCACCCTCTTCACAATCCCATTTCCCACAAATAACAAGTTTAGTACAGGTCAGTTTTCATACATATAGAAACATGCAAATGCATACACATATAATGGTTTTAATTTCTTTAAACTGATTATATTACACAAACTATTTCACAGCTATTTTTTATTGTCTTAAAATTTTATAACCTCCTATTCAAATGAATACAAATAGATATGCCGCATTCTTTTTCATAGTTTAATATTGTCCCATTTGTGAATAAACCATAACTTATTTAATTCTTCCCCTGTTGCTAGACATATATGTTTTAAAGTGTTTTGTTCTCACGTAGGTTCAAGCTATTAAAAAAAAAAACAATTCTAGGGTCTTATTAATAAATCTATCAAAAATCCTTTTTTAAAACTATGTCAAACATAAATATATAAAAACTGTTACATATTTTAAATGTTAAAATCAAAATATGTCAAACATACATAAAAGTCTATGTAATTTATATGAAAGATTAAAGAATATGATATTTAGAAATGCCTGTACTCTTCTTTATCCAAGTAAGAACATGGAATATTATCATTTTAGAAGCCTCTTGTGAGCCTATTCCCAACATCAGTCTCTCTATGCAGCAAAGGGAAAGGGGGAATTTTGTGTTATTAATTCCCTTGCTTTCCTTCAGTTTTACCACTTATATATCTCTAAATAAAAATGATGGAGTGGGAAACTCCAAAGACACATTCCTACACAGAAACATTGAAAATACAGACAAAATTGTCAGAATCAACTTGACTAAAATTCAGGAAAATAGTCAAAGATTTATAGCAAGCAAATGAATGCATAATCAAAAAGAGGACAAATAAAACATGGCAGGAGAGCTTTGTGGCATGTTAGCTTACCTATGCCACATCCCCGCCTCCTCAGCTTAGCAGCACTTGAAAGACAACAGTCCATATTCCTAGAATGGGGTCTTAGTTCCTGAGAAAACAGAATGAACCTCATCCTCTAAAGTTTCCTGTTTGTTTTGATCTGTCTAGGGGCTCCCTGAAAGACTACAACAGAGGGCTTGCCTTTATTTCACCTAACTCAGAACTCTCTCAGAACAGAGAAACAACATGGGAGAGGGTGTAGCTCAGTGGTAAAGTGAGTGCATAGCATGCTTGAGTTCCTGGGTTCAATCCCCAGTACCTTCATTAAAAAAAAGAGAGAGAGAAACATCTACATGGAGGATATTCCTTTAAGGCAAAGGAACCAGCCACTGTCACCTAGGGCAAAGAATATCAACTGACACAAACAATAGACACACCAGAAATTCTAGGAGGAAAAGTGAGGGAGTGAGTTACTTGGAGAAAAAGGACTCTGAAGAGCTTCCACATATTCCTGGGAACAGTCCCTAATAGAGAATGTCAATAAAGAGAAATTTTACATCAACA